TAGTGCAGATGTCTTAACCACTTGACCACCGAGCTTGCCGGGGTCGGCTGGCCGTGAGAAACAGTCATATAAAAAGCTCAATTTTCGAGTCCCACAACAAACAACCCTTTCCCTGGGAAAAATGGTTCTTGGTCTACTCCTGTTAGGAACTTGTAGTGTCTGCCTAACTTAGAACTGACAGTAACAAATCTTAATAGGTCATTTAATAAAGCTTTTCTTTGGATGCATGTTGGCCGCATCAATTACACTTGCAAATGTTGAAAAGTATTCTGTACAATCGGATGAAAATTGTCAAGTGCGCAACTTTGTTGGACTTGAAGCTAAACCAAAGAAAGTAAACCAAAGAAAGCAGTGGTTCCTATCTGGAAGGGCACAGTTAAATGCAGAGCCCGATAGGGTTTAACAAGATGTTTTAACAAAATGGTGATATTGGCACTGTCTGTATTCATTTATTTATACATATCAATGCATTTGTACATTAATATATGTTGCTTTAAATAATTTTTTTTATTCATACAGATGATGTAACTTAATATTCCACTACACAAAGATTATACATTTTATTGCCAAAATAATGAGTTTTGAGAGTGTTGTTATACAAAAATCTTTGTTTTCCGTACATGTATTAATCCATTTTACATTGTTTGGTCTGTAGCCACTTGCTGCTGGGGAGCCTGGTTTTGGATACGTTTTCTTTATATGCACACACGGGCTGCCCGAAATCGGACAAAGGGAACTGGGCTGTGTAACAAAAGACCGTACTCCGAACAGAAGAATTGCCTAAATTTTTCAGTTGTCAATGGCGGAGATAATCCATCATTTTTTTTGAATCAGTATACCACTGTTTGTGGCATTCACTGTGAGCAGATTACAACTGGGGACAAAAGTACTCCATCACTCTAGCTATTGTTGTAGTCCCGGGTGTGCCGAGTGGCAGAGGGGTCAAAAGGGTCTCTCAGACACAAGGAGTGACGAAGCAGACACGCTTTCTGCTCAGTTTCTGCTACAAGACTGCTGCGTGGCTACACAGAGACAGTAGTAAAGCTACGAGCACGCTTGAGTGGTTTTATTACACAATACTACACTCCTTCCCTTGCTTTTTTCAAATTATTTTTATTTCCTAGTTACTTACCTAGAGAAAACTGGCGTGTAAAATTAAGACACCAATGAATAAATCAATTTATAGTTTCCTTGCTTCATGGTATAAGAATACAACTTCGTCACACTGAATTGAGTGACGGACTGAATGGCTACTATTATCAGTCGGAGTCTACGACACTTAAAAATCAGGGCAGCAATAATAAGTACATTTCTATTTGCTTACAGATGATTTACTCCAGTTTCATTATTCAAATTTATCGACCACAGGAAGTTTCTTCTTCTTAACTCTTGGCAACAGTTGGGGGACCAAGAAAAGCAATCTAGAGTAACAGTCATCTTTCCAATTGATATACTTCAAATTGTGTCCCCTGGAATGGATTGGGAGCAAAATTTGCAACCTCCACACGACAGGTCTTTTACATCGCAACCCCCCGGTACAACAATCGCAACTGGGTGTATTGATTGGTATTTGTGATAAGGCATCTGCATTTGCGCAATCAGTTCCTTTCCTATGGAGGACTACCATATTGTACTGGCTTAACTCTTCTAACCATCTGGCTATTATGCCAGAGGGATTCTTAACCCCTTGATACTACACTATGAGCCATACAATATGATGCATGCTAATCTGGCCGCATTTTAAAAGACGCCAGTGTCGGGAAAGACTGGACCAGTTTCGGGAACAAACAAAAATTACCACACACTGCACGATCTGGGTTCTCTTTACAAGGTGCCAGGCTTGGCTGAAATACTCAGGCATCAAATGCCATTATCACACATTTTTATATGTTCATTGTTAGCAATTGTAAATATCTAGGCATTGAATTTGCAGGTGCCACCTGCGTGTGAAAATGGTATGACTGGAGTAGTGGCTTCTAAATTTGGTTGCTGGATTAATGTTTTAATCCAAGATGGATATTCCAAAAGACTGCAGTGGAGTGCAGTGTTTGCTTCACACAATTTATGACATTATATTCTGATTTGGCTTTCAATATTTGTACAGCATTTTTCTTGTGATGATGTACTGCGAGCAGGATCTAGCTAGTCTCTTGGATAACATGCCAGCTCCATTCACAGAGGCCCAAGTCAAGTGTTTAGCTCTACAGATGGCAAATGGTCTACAGTATTTACATGATAATTTTGTCATCCATCGAGATCTCAAGGTGTCCAACTTGCTTCTGACTGACAAAGGATGTCTTAAGATTGGTTAGTAATAAAGATTATCATGAATAAAAACCTGCATTTTATTTAATGTGACCTCTTGTTTGTTGTACATTGAGTTGTTTAATTGAACAAGTCTACTCCCGTTTCATGTTGGTACATGTAAGTATTATTTTTTAATGAAATTCTCCAATTCATGTTTTTGTTTTGTCAGTGGAAGTTTTTCATCCTTCCCATTACAGGGAAGCCTCTCGAAATTATCTAAGATGACACTTTTTTTGTGCAGACAAAATAAAAAGATGAAAGATTGGAATTAATCCTGACTTCCCCTTACATGCTTACCTTTCAACGACAAGGATACGATGACAACACAATGTGTGTTACATTACTGCTTCAGCTACAGTACATTGGAAAAAATTCATTCAGAGCATTTGTTTCCTCCCCCAGCACCGTTTTACAACAAATATGGAAAGAAATGGTTTCTGCCATGGTGTTAGCATGTTGAGTATGTTCACTTTTTTCATTTGAACTTCCACCTCTTTGGCCATATTCACAAATGACTTGTGTGATAAATGTTTATTATTCATATTGCATCACAAACTTGATAACGCTAAGCCCTACCTCTGTCCCAAGAGTCTTTCATCCAGCAAACAATATTCAAACTGAGGCATGTTTCCTATCTCCTGAAGAAACTCTCCCATCCCTTTGGAATGAACTGTGAATGACTGCTCTTTTTTAATCGTAGAGAGGATACAAAGTTGATGTGTGTCCATTAAAAAAAAAAGAAAGATGTATTTCTAAGATAATACTGTTTGCCACTACCCACTAAAAAGATCAATCTTGTACATCTTAACATGCTGAACCCAGTAACATTTTATGCAAAAATAAAACCCCCATAGCACTTGAACATGATCTTACTATAGGCCCTCTAAAAATTGGAAGAGTGTGGCCAATTGTGGTGAGATCTTGTACATCTTGGAAAGAATCAGTGTGAACTGATAGCAATATGGATTGGGAATTTGTGTCAAAATGTTTAGCATACTCAAAATCTACTTAACATGGTTATAGTGGCTGCAAATCGCAGTGACAATGTACTAACATGGTAAAGATTGGCAGACATGTACTTTTGGCATATCAGCATTGTAGCAGGATCTTTACAAAAGTGGTGCAGGCACAGTTCAATCAGAAAGCATTTTGTGCCATTGCCACCAGAGAATATATATAAAAAAATGCTGGTAAATGTGACGGTACCTTGCTACAGGTGTACCACAAACCCCATACAAGCATAAAGAACATATTACCGTCGTACAATGATCTTTTAGGTCATAGTACAACCATATTTGAAGTCGTTTACGTTATGGAATGAGGTGGGACCCGCACTCAGTTTAACCATGCCAAGAATGTAATGTAAACTTAATACACGTGCCATTTATGCAGTAACAACTTAGTACAATCTTGAGAGAGCCATTTTTGGCCTAATTTTCCTAGTTTCATCCATCCGAGTCTAATTTTAAGGAAATGTTACAATGTAGCGGGCTCTTCTTTGTTGTCATCAGAGATTATGGTTTTTATTTGGACAATACATGTATTTGTTCTTGACCATAGCTGATTTTGGTCTTGCAAGAACTTTTGGGTTACCAGTCGAGTCCATGACCCCAAGAGTTGTAACACTGTGGTACAGAGCACCAGAAGTATTGCTGGGATCAAGCGAGCAAACAACAGCAATTGATATGTGGTGAGTTAAAATATAGCACAATAAATTGTACTTACACTAGAAATGAATAAACCTTTCAAAGAAAAGTTGGGCAGCTTGATTTTGTTTATTTAAAAAAGGCATCTTGTCGGCGAGAAATGCGAAGCAAATGCGAGCCTAAGTAGTACCGATCTCTTTCCATCTATCCAGCCGTTCGCTCATTGTTACAGTTTTTACTTAGGGTTTTAGTATGAGTCATTTGTGCCTGTTTATTTCAGTCCTGAGTTTATTAAAAGCATCAGATCTTTATGTGGGATCAGTGCTTTGAAGCGTTGGTTACATAAGGAAGAAATTAAACCCAAACTGTTAAAAGTTTTTAACTATGTTACACATACGTACATGTATGTGTAATGCATGTGAATACTGTGGGTGTATGCACATGTGTCAATTACAGTGTGTGCCACATACGTAAAGGGAGACAGATGTGGAAGGGGAAAGTGCAGAAAGGATGATGGGATCGGGTCAGTGCAGGAGATGGATAGGATGGGGGAGGCAGAGTTCGAGATGGATTCGATAATGGGATAGGGCAGACTCAGAGATGAATGGGAAGGAAAATCGTGGAATGGGGCAGTGTAGGAGATAGATGGGATGATGGGATGGGGTGAAACCTTTGAAGTGCATTCGTTTTGCATCCATGATGAAGTCATTTATCAGCCAATTTGTCTTTATTTGCTGTTTTTTTTTTTAATTGTGGCAAGCAGCCTTTGTTTAGCATGATTTCTCGTTTAATTGCAGTGTAAATTGCGTGGGTAACTTAATATGATCTGCTTTTATGGTAAAGAAATCAAGATTCATATGAAGCAGCGAGCCATGGCAGCTTCACCATTCTAGTTTTTATAACATTTTTTATTTGTTTGAGAAAGATAAAACGTTGCGTTTTTTATTGTTAAACTGATTGGTATTTTTTCTAGGTTTTGCCCGTTTGAAATAGCAAGAATATTCTGTGTGCCTTTTAGCTCTTAGTATTGACACGATGTACGGATGCACCTGTGTCACAATCTGGGTTGGCAGGAATTTTTTCAGTTCAAGCCACTTCCTTCAATTTAAATCAGCTGTTGGGATTCAGTGCATGGATTTCATGGAAACTTGTTAATAATCATGATTTAATTCCACTTTATTTAAAGTTTGCACTTCAGAGGTTACTATGGTAAAGTAGTAGTGTACATCAACCTTTTATCTCTACGAGTACATGTATACATGTATTTTATTGAGATTAGAAATATTGGTCATTATGCAGTAAATATAAAACGATAAAATGTTCTTAATAAATTGAATCTGAATCAAGCCTGAGTCACTATTCTATTAGTCAGACATGGGCTGGATCTCAAAAAAATTTAAAATATCTGATATCATTTTGGAAGATCTGATTTAAATTTTTAGAATTAAATTCTTTTTTTTTTTAATTTGACTTAAATATATATAAATATTTGAACTGCTCTCGTGATGTCACATTAATAGCACTGTGTCATTTCTTCTTTATGTTGTTCTAAAGTGTGTATTTAACCGTGTATTAACTCCTGGGTATGGTGGAATGTAGAATTATGGAATGCATTTAATATTATGTTAAACATAATATGTTAAACATGTTGTTTGGATCCCTTGGTGCATTGCACTCATCATGGATATTACACAACTCTCAAACTATTTGGAATTGGATGAAAATTCTTTAAAAGCAGGCCTTCAAATGGAAATATAGAAAAATTCCACTATTTATTGCCATGTTTTTGCATTGTGTAAATGTAATAAAATGCAGTGCATACTTGTTGAAAATACTTGGAAATAAGACAATCATGGGAAAGAAGGATTTCTTATTTCATTTGGCAATACAGAAGTTTCAGAAAAGTGTTAAAATTTCTGAATTTTTTATATGTAGGGCTGCTGGATGTATATTTGGTGAACTGTTGGCAAATCAACCCATGTTGCCAGGAACATCTGAGTTACAACAGATTCAGTTAATTATAGACTTACTTGGAACTCCCAGTGACAGCATCTGGCCTGTATGTATTTCTGTCTTTGGTTTATTGCTTGTTTTAAGCAGATTTTGCTGCTTATTTTAAGGTCATGTGGGTATTGTAAATATTTTGTGTTTGATTCTGCTCTCTTTCGCCTGAACCCAATTACACTGATGCAGTTGAAAAGACTTTTAAACCCAAAGTGTAAGACTAAAAGAAAAATACAATTTTAATAGAGATTGATGTGCATTTTGAAAAAAGTATACTTAGCCTCTTACAATAGAACATTATGGCACCACTGTTGTGATAGTAAGGTTGATGAAGGAAAGTTTGTTTCCTTGCGAGTTTTTATGTGCTGATATCTGTCACCCAGAAACAATTGTAGCAGTATTTTTCGAATTATGCTAAAACTACATTCAAGTGTTCTTTGGTTATGATCAAGTTTCTTGATGTAATTTCTTTGCCTTTTTTGTGACAGGGTTTTACAGGTTTACCCATGTTAGAAAAGTATACCTTGAAAAACCAGCCTTACAACAACCTGAAACAGAAGTTTCCTTGGCTGTCTCAGGCTGGATTGCACCTCCTTAATATTCTGTTTATGTACGACCCATCTAAAAGGTCAGTCAGATTGTTTGGACATTTTTTTTCTGAGACTTTATGTCACAGGATGTGATCACTGTCAAGAATCCTTTGGTGCAAATAAGATCCTTGTCAAGCTGAGCATGTGAAACACACATGTTGAGAGTTTCAGTATCTTTGAAAATTCCTTCAAGTATAGCCTTTATAATAGTGTGCTATTTATGAAGATCATGGCTGTTACAGTTGCAAACATTTCAATTGTTAACTCTGTTTAAATCATTTTAATTAATCTTTCTACACCCCTTAGTCCGTCCGTCCATCTGTCCTCAGCTGTTTAAGACATGAATTTGTAATTTTAACCATATACATCGACCCTTATCCCAAGACCACCTCTGGGTGTTTTGAACCCAGATAATGTCTGATTATATCTGACACATTGTTGCCTATTAGAAATAAAACTACAAATCCAGGGAATAATTGACTCCCTTACCCCTAACTTCAGAAATTTGTTATTAAGAAGTGTATGTTCACTATTATGGAAAGCTTTCGAGAAGTCTGTCATATCAATGGTGCCCCTATTGTTAAGTAACTTAGCTCCACTGTGTAAAAAGAATGCATCAAACTGACCAGATAGTGTAATGTGGAAACTCCTTTAACATTACCATACGGATTAATGTCTATTTTACTGCTAATGTCATCAAGGACCCAATGAACAATAAATTGTTCAGCAATTTTGGCCAGACCATCGGTCAGGGACACCGGCCTCAGCTTATCGATATTCGCTGGGTACTCTTTAGGAACGGGAATAACAATTGCCTTTTCCCCAACAGAAAGGAACAGTTCCTTCATTGTATGAGCTATTATATACAAGTGAATGGGGCACTAAGCTCAAATGCAAATTCTTTGAGAAGCTGAGGCAGAATTTCATCCGGACCAGAGGCTTTGCATGTTTTAACCTTTCTCAACACATGGTCCACTTCCCATGGGAACAGAAGAGGAGGTTTGGAGGAGGAGGTTTGGTATTGTCCAAAGGTGTTAGGTCAGAGGATGCAGGAACAAATTTGTCATTAATGGCATTAGCGATGTCAATATCTGCGCATACTCAAGGTATTTTCAAGATGTATTTTTGCGTTGGGGAGATGTTAATTATATGTAACGGTTTGCCC